TTTATAGCAAGCAGTGGTCTTAACTTGAAATTTCATATTGGAAAGGGTAAAGATTCTGCAAGTAGAACTGAACTCCAATGTTTGGTCATCTTTTGTAATTTTATGTCTTAACTTAAGTCTAAAACCAATGAATACAACTACTTTTACCACTCTCATGAATACTAATGGCACTTGTTAAGCACTTACCAAGAGCCATGGAACATGCCAGAGGAACTTAGATACATCATTATATATATATTTGACTGGCAAACGTACAGTCTGCACAACACATATGGGAGGAGGCCTTCCTCTTACCACCAAAATACTGAACCTCCTTCCAGTCACATGGCCAGCCAGGTGGAGCTGGGAGAGAAGTGATGACTGTAGGAAGGACTTGATGGTTGACCCACCATAAAGAGCAGCTATTAAGATGATGGTGGTGATGCAGGAGCCCTTGGGTGCAGAACATAGTGAGTGCACAGCATCTCAGTACAATTGAGCTTATGAGGTCAATTCCCTCCTTGATGGCAAAGACAGTCAGCATAAAAGCCATCTCTGCTTGAAGGGAGATTAAGGGTGTGTTAGGGGTGAGGATGTAGGGAGTGATTATAATGTTCCCAAATTAAAATCGTCCTTTTGAGAATATACCCTTCAATATTTAGCTATGGGGGTATGTGAAAGTAGAGGGCAGGAAACAGAGGCTAAAACATACTGTATCAACTTTGCAATTTACCTCACGTATGTCTTGATGTGCTATATGCTTGAATATTAAAAAGAATAGGATGGAACCTTCTTCCTTCCCCTTCCCTGAAGAGAAATCTGTTGCTGTATGCTGTTCAGCCTTCGGGCAGAGAGTGCCATCCCACAATGTTTCAGAGGAGAGCTGCCAGAAGAGAATAATAACACTAGCAGTGTTATCTGCTGACACAAAGGATGGGAATACACTTATAGCCTAGACTTGGCTTCTTGCCTCTTGTTAAGGCACCACACAGCCGGGCTTACTGACAACTTTCCTGAGACACACTCGCTTACTCTAGCACTATTTAAATCTCTCTACATGGTGGATTGCTGTATTTCCTTCAAGCCTTTTATCTTTTTAATCTCACCTCTCATTTGCTTGCATCCCTGAGACAAAAGGAACAAGAAGGAGTACAGATCAAGGGATGTTAGCTTGAGGTCTAGGGACCCCACCACGACTGGTTTCAGGTCAATCTTGGACTAAATCCACAATCTCTTAGAAGGTGAGAGAAGCCTATGCCAGCTTGGTTTTTGGAGGCTCCATGTAGATTAAAAACTAGATCTGTATGCAGAGAGTCAGCAAAGCGGGTGTTTATTTTTTTAACTGTTTACTATTATAAATGAACACACTTAGCACAAAACAACATGATGCAATATAACTGTGTAAAATATAGGACATTGCAGTGTTTATTAAAAATACTAATTCAGAGTGTATTTCAGGTTGACTGGTGAATGGTTTTCAATCTTCAGAGTGTGTCTCTGTGAATGCATGTGCAAATTCATTTCAAAAAGAAATTTCATAGTCAAAATTTGAGGAAAGCTGGCCATGTGACTCATTGGCCATGTGCCGCACACCCCTCCCCTTTCTTTTTTCATTCAGCCCATCCTGAAAGGCACTGCCATGACATTGAATGCAAACTTTTATGTTTGTGGGTTCATTTTCAGGTTTTATTAAATTCGCTAAGCAGTCCGTTTTCCAAAAATGGTTAAGAATCTACTTGTCCCAAAGATAACTAACTTAGAAAATCCAGACCAATGAACAGAACTCTTCATTTTAAAAACTCAGAATACTCTTTTTGAAAATTGTAAAATGTTTTAGTCTTGCAATTTAAATTAATATTACAACTTTTTAAAATGCCTTACTGTTTTTTTCTTTGCTGTGTTGTAATTCTGAAAGTCTTCTTGTTTTCTTTATTTGTCTCCTCTCCACCTCCATTCAAGAATACCAAAGGACACTGATCATCCTAAAGAGCCAGTGGTCTAAAGCCCATCCTACTGCTCTGCCACTGTATGACCCTGATGAAGTGCTGAGCCTCTCTGGTCCTCTCTTCTGTGTCTCTCAGATGAGATGGTTGATTTCCATTTCTCAAGTCCTTTCTAGCTTCAAACCACTGATTTTTCTTACTGTCTTTCTCCATACTGTCCCTGAAATATTTCAATACCCTAGCTCCAAAGCTATTGTCATGGTGTGTTGACCTACTCTCATAGAAATAAACAAAACATTTGCTTACTTTACATCCAAGCCAGTACTTAACAGGCATTGATTCAGATTTATTTTTTTCTCTGACCTAGTGGCAATGAAGTGTTTATTGTTGTCATGGAGAACAGTGTATGCCAACTAGACTCACATCACTATAAAAACTTAAAGAAAAATCTAAATTTTTTGGCCTAGTTAAATTGCTGGATACAGATCTGCACTGACATTTTGGAGCACTAGATGGCGATATAAGTGCATCACATAACAAGCATTTCCTTGATTGGTCCAGCATTAAAATCCTAATGACTGAGGCCAGAACAGGTTAATGCATTAGTTAAAGAAACAAAGTCAAATATAATCAGGTGGTTGGAGTGTCAGCTAATACTCTGAATGTGTTCAGCAACCTACTGCTTTCTGAAGGAAAGATTGTTAAACTAGAAATTAACTTATCCTACTGTTGAGTGTATCTTCAAGCTAATTCTTGGGGCAAGAGTTGGCAATAAACACGTGTTTCTCATAAAATGTGTCTAATTCCTACATTCACCTTCATTTTGGGTTTTCACTTTTTAAAAATAGCAATTGTTTGGGATGGAGTGCGCCTCACATATATTATTCATTGACCAAGTAGTATATTCTTATCCAGAATGTGAGCCCAAGATACTGGCATTTTACAGGGGAAACGGCCGACTTACAGTAAGCTGTTGGCTGGACCATTATTGACTGGCAGACTCAACTGGAAGCACTTTGTTAGTGGATTAGGTTGCCCTGGAAATGCCTTCCTGAAACTCTAATGATGCACTTAAGGGAGCCCTCTGGAACAGGAGTAAAATGTCTTTGAGCAGGCGTGCCTTCCACCAGAGTCCTCTTGGGATGACTTCGGAGAGAGTGGGGGCACCTCCGAAGAGATGCTCAGTAAGGAATCAGCCCCAGGAAAAGACTGCAGGTGGCAATTTCTTGCAGGTAAGCTAAGAGGATGACCTACTGACGTAAACTGTGGACTTTCTGTGGGTGCCAGTGCTTCAGGTATCCATGTGGAAAGAGCATCATTAATTCCAGAGAGAGAGAGTGGTTTATCTTTGTATTTATTTGATTTCTTGGCTGGGGTGGTGGCCGAGGGATGAAGGAGGAAAAAAGAGGGCGTTTGAATGAATGTGGTTTAAATTAAGGGATTAAGAAAACGCTCTGTAATTGGAACATAGGGGTCAATCGGTGAGGTTTAAAAAAAACAAAAAACAAAAAACAAGCTTTAGAGGGGAACTGTGCCCTTCAGCCGAAATTCAGTCCACGTGAAAAGGCTTGTTGGCAGGATTTTCACAGGGAAAGTCACTCGTGTCCATCTCACCCCTCGCGGCTGCGGGTGGGG